TTCGTTGGCCGTTTGAAGGCCATTATTCGTGCTAAAGGTTACCAATTCAAACAAATCTAAACTTATTCTAAAATGCGATGCTATTTCCGACAATTTTTGCTTTCATTCAATAAAATTTCAAAAAAAAAAAAAAAAAAAAATTAAATTGTGGCGTTTGACTTTGTTGCATTTTTTTTATCTCACTCTGTAGATATCACAATCTCACCTAGCTGAATCGACCTAGATATATGCTTCTGTCTGCTCGTCTGTCCATTTTAATTTGTAACCACGCCACAAGTCGCAATTATGGTCCGATCCTCTAGAAATAGAGATATATTAATGATTGGGGGAGATAATCGCAAAATATTAAGGAGCTAGAACATACTCAAACTTGATATCTTTGACTTATTTAACAGTTGTTATATAGGTCACAATTATAAACCGGTCAACGCGTGGTTATAGACCATCTTTACATCAGACCTTGGGTTGATAGAAATATTTTGATGTAAGTAATTTGAAGACACTCAGATTCTGACATCACATTTTATAAAAGTTAAATTTATTCAAAATGTTTACCCTTTATGGAGGAAGTACTTGATGGAGCGGACCTATATTGTCCATTTTCGCACCTGAAATTGCACTGAATTTGGAGCAAAATCGGATTATCCTTTCTCAAGGAAAAATGAAAAATTTCGCACTTTTGTGAGGAGGTAGCAGAAGGAGTGGACCGATATGGCTCATCTCCGAACTCGATCAAAGTTTAGTAATAATTTTACGATGTACCGTCAAGACTAAATTGAGTTTCATCTAAAAAAATATATTGTTATTTGTAGTTCGTGATGCATACTACAGCCTATGCTAGAAAATTTTCTATGCTGGTTAACGTTTTATAACCCCCATGGTACCTCCCTATATTCGGTATTTTGATGATTTTTCCTCAAGTTTCGCATTTGAATATTGTAATAGCTTTTGACAAAAATTGCCTATGGAGGTCCAAGTCGTCGTATAGGCCCTAATATTCGGCTACATTTGTCATTTTTAAAATGTTAACGGAATTTTTTAACGGATTTTATTTTTTTTGAAACGTACTAAATGTGTACCAAATGGTGGAGGGTATTCAAAATTCGGCCCGGCTGAAGGTACAGCTTTTTTACTTGTTTTAATTTGCGATTTCACCGGGAGACATTCAAAATATTCCCGATAGAATGGGCATATTGTAAATGTCTTTGTTCAGTTCATGCGTTTAGTATAATCCCATGACCCTACATTATGGTGGGCTTGTCTGAAACATTAAACCCATACAATGATACTTGCCGATTGGCCTACAATTGCGACCAGCAGAACACCTGAAAAATCAGGAAAAATATGTTTTTTGATTATTTCATCCTCTAAAAAATCCCAATTATCTTAAAAATTATATTTGACTTATATGGACACACTACTTAGAGAATCTAAGACTTTGTCGTTAAGACTTTTTGACTCAATCAAAATTATAGCCTCACAAAATAGTGTTGAAGGGTATGAATATGACTACATCAGCCCACTAAGGGTCGCAAATGTTCAAATTTTTTGGAAAAAAATAAATCAAGGATTGTATCAATCCTAAAGGTGCAAAAATGCAAATATCAGTCCTCCACAAAGAAACAGAATATACAATAATTATAGCTCATATAAAATGTAAATTTATTCCCCGATTAACCCCAATCTACTGGCAATATTTCTACAAAATTTTGATTAGGTGTTCCAAGTTCGCTTTTGGTTTCCTTTGGATTTTTGGTTTTCTATTGGGAGGATGCAATCCTATAATAATTGCCAATGTCCAGTCTCAACTCACATTCCGCAAACTGTTAAAATCGTTTTGCATGAAAGTGCGTTCCCTCCACATACAAACACACACACATGCATACACCCCCACGAATATATATAATATTTATACACATGTATAGTCTATTGGCGTTATGTTTGTATTTTGTGAAAGCATATCCTGGCATGAGCATCATATAATGGGATTATGTGCGATTAATGCATTGACATGTAACGATTTTCAATTGAATTTATTGCTTATTGTTTTTGTATATGAATCTGTCCGTCTGTCTGTCTGTCGGTTGCTCGGTCTGTCTACAATATCATCCTCTATAGGCATAGCCTACTACAATGAGGACACATCATTTTGTGAGTGTGTGTCTGTGTCTTTTTTGTATGCTGCTCTCTCATTTGTAGGCGGGAGAAGGCCCAGGACATTTAATGAAAGCCGTTTATGCTGTGTTGATGTTGATGTTGTTGTTTTGTTTTTTTTTTCGGTGTCCTCGTTAAACAGCTACGCGTTACCATTTTTGTATCGCTGCCATGAATACTTAACGGACTGCTGTGAAAACAAAAGGAAAAATTGTTTAACAAAAGGGTGTCGCAAATCTACACATGTTTTGCATAAAAAACAATGAATAATATTTCCCGATCTATTGTTGGATGCTTTTGTTGGCGTCGTTGTTGTTGCAGAGAAGATTCATGATAAACTTTAGAAAGTGTAATTAAACCAAACCAAAAAAATTGTGTGCATGAAACCAATTCTCCATGAATCGATTCGGTTTAATGTTTATATTTTTAAATTAGAGTGGCAGCGAAATGAAAAGCAATTCTTTTGTGAGCAGCCATAAGTCTATGGTCTACATAATGACTGCTCCAGAAATGTTCGGGACGATTTGTTAATGATGAAAATGAGTATTTATGGAGTTATGAGATGTTTTTCATAAGCAGATCGAATATTAAAAAAAATCAAAATTAAAACAATAAAAATCTAAAAATTGTTTTAAATATTTTTATAATTCTTTATATCACAAATACAATTGTTATAGGAATAAAATTGTACTCACCATTTCATCCACATAAAGACGTATTTGGAGTTCTTTAAAGTTTTTAAATTAGCACCTAAAATGAAATAAATAAATAACTAATATTAAAAATATGAAATATATCTGCAAGTATTGGGTGGGAAAATATACAGAATACCAGCCCATAAATTTTTGAAACGACAACAATATATTCAGGTGATGAAATGAGCCTACAACTGATTTTTTACTGAATTGAAGTCGCCATAATTTTTTTTTGTGAAAAAATACCAAAATTTCCATCAAACCGGAAAAATGATTAACACTGAAAGACAAAAAAAAAATAAAAAATACACATCTGACTTATATATTGCTGCAGACTTCTTTAACATAAACAGGGTGAGATGAAAAAACTGCAACTGTCATTTCTAAGCCACTCGTCCGACAGCTGTTAAAATTATCACTATAATGTTTACAAGCGTATACAATTTGGTGAGAATTTTCCAGAAAAAAGTTATTCGTGATGGAATTCAAGGGTGATAGTGTGATTTCTTTATATTTGGCTGGAAAACCACAAGTGGCTACCGTTAGAGCATTCCAACATTTAAATGTGGATAAATGTTTTGTGTCCCGTACCATCGCTCGTTACCGTGATACTGGTAGCGTAGCTCAAAAGAGCTAAAGAGTTGATCGAAAGTGGTGATCTGCCGATGAGATGAGAAAACATTCGTTGTCCAGCAGTTTGTAAACAAACAAAATGATCGTGTTTACTTGCCAAAGAGGTCAGATGAAAATGTGCACCTTTGGTTGCCTCATCGAAATGACGGTTTTAGACCCTAGGTCTCTTTGGACCAAATCCGTTTCAGGACATTTGGACTCGATCTAGTAATGTCCGTCCGTCTGTCTTGCTGGATGGTGCACACTATAACTTTCGAAGGCAGTATACGATTTGGTCCAAACTTGGTACATCGTAATATTATCAAACTTAGACCGAGTTTGGAGATGGGCAACATCGGTCCACTCCTTCTGGTACCTTCCCCACAAAAGGTTGAAATTTTCAAAAAATATATATATTTTTTCTGCACAAAAAGAGAAAGGATAATCCGATTTTGCTTCAACTTTGCAAATCCTAATATTTACGTTAGTGCTAGGTGAGGAGCGAAAATGGACAATATTGGTCTACTCCATCAAGTATCTCCCCCACAACGGTTCAAAATTTGGAATAATTACAACTCTTGTAAAATGTGATGTAAGAGTCCGATTGTCTTCAAATTTCAGACATCCCAATATTTATTTTAACCCAACGTCTGGTGTTGAGATGGAATATATCCACTCCTTCTGCTACCTCCCCCACAAAAGGTCGAAGTCAAAAAAAATATATTTTCTTCACAAAAAGAGAAACGATAATCCGATTTTTCTCCAACCTTGCAAATCCTAATATTTACGCCATTTCTATGTCGGGTGCAAAAACGTACAATATCGGTCCCTTCCATCAAGTACCTCCACCACAAAAGGTTAAAATTTTGAATAATAATAACTCCTATAAAATTTCATGTAGGAGTCCGATTGTCTTCAAATTACGCACATTACATTTTTTTTTATTAACCCAAGGTCTGATGTAAAGATGGAATATATTGATATATTGGTACCTCCCCAAAAAAGTTCGAAGTTTTTAATATCCATAAAGCTCTTAAAACGCGAATTTAACATCCGATTCCATTAAGCCTTGGCACGTCTCAGTATTTCCATCAACACGATATATATTGTAAAGATGGTAGAGATCGGTCCACTCCTTCTGGTAGCTACCCCAAAGAGTGTCAAAATTTTGAATATCCATGAAGCTCATAAAACGCAACATAACATCCGATTCCATTCAGACTTGGTACATATCAATATTTCCATCAACACAAGAATTGTTGTAAAAATGACCATTTTTCCGGGTACCGCCCCAACACAGAGTTCAAGATTTTGAAAAAGAAAACTCTAAATGAAAACGAAATAAGCATCCAACTCTCTTCAAATTTCACACACACAAACATTTTTGCTAACTCAAGACATATATATCTGCGAACCATTTCTGGTACCTCACTTCCAAAGGGTCAACATTGTCAATTATTCCATCTGTCATAACTTGTAAAACAAGTCAGCAATTCTTTAGAACTTGCTGTATCTGAATATTTCTCTCAACCAGAAACCTGAGATGAATATGGAATTTATTAATTGGCATGAAATTGGATACAAATGTTCGACCATGCCAATATTTTATCTGTATTAGATAAAGTATAAAAATGGAATATTTCGATCGACTATATCTGGCACCAAACGCGCATTTCAACATTTTCTAAAAATTATGACATATCTTATATAAAGTGATGGGAATAACCAATATAGTCCAAACTTGACACGTCATAATATTAATATGGTATTTATGTGGGTCCGATAGGAAATGGACAATATTGGCCCATTCCTTCGGAACCTAACTTCTTTAAAATATTCATGTTTTTTATTGTTGATTTAACAACATCCTTCTTTCTGTTGTATGCTAGAATGAACTTGCATTATTTTCTAGGTTTCGAGAACTGGATAGTTCAGTTCAGACATTTAAATCACTGTACTTTAAAATCGATGGATTTCAACAGAAGGATGGACGGGCATAGTTAAAAAGCAGACTTAGAATTGTATGCCAATGGTGGATATGTGTTCTTTATGATGTGGGTCGCTGATATGATATAATATTTTTCAAGGTGATGCAAACGGAATGACAGATTTCATATATCATCCATCTTATGCTGGAGGATAGAACTTATAAGAAATAAAGCAAACGTAATGAAAGATAGATAAGACTCACCATTTGAATTCCTCTGTTATTTAGCCTGGTGATCTTGGCTTAATTTTTATTTATCTGGGACTGGCTATAGATCGAGTTTGATTAGATCACGAAGGCTCTTAATTAGAAAAAACTTACAGAAATTTTGAGGATATTTTGGGTTTATTTGCACCACGTTACACTGATTCTCCCAAGGATTGATGGTCGATATAGGCTCTTTCTCTCCAATTTAAAGGAGTACATTATATAACATTTTCCAAAATTGATTCCTGTATATCTTTCTTCAACCTTTTGAATTAATAAACAATTTGAAAATTTTCATTTTGTATTGATATTACAATTTTGAATTAAAATTTCAGAGCCTATGCAGGTAAAAGGAAAAATTGAGCTTACAGTTTTATAATTTGTACAGTAAAAATATAACTTTTTACCAACGCTTGCTCTGTTCCAGAACTGCAAAAATATACAACTTTTTACAACATTAAACGATGATATCGAAAAAAATGGCAAAACTAGTAGATTCTCATAGGTTCTGAAGCAGAGAAACTATAAGCAGTTTGTCGTTTTGAATTCTACTAGGCCAGGTGGTGTAATATAACTAAACAAGTAAAGAAAGTCTTAAAGTCGGGCCGAATCTATGATATCCTACACCACTTTGCATATTTAGTAGAGCTTCACATAACAAATAAAAGTTTTTATGATTATAGTTACACTTTAAAGTCCGAAGGACTAAATATGCCAAGGCATTTGTGTCTTTTCAATTTAGGCTTATATTACCCATTTGGTGCGCAATTAATTTGAAATCAGATAAAGATATATATGGGAGCTATATCCAAATCTAAACCTATCTCGATAAAATTTGACAAATATATTTCTGAGCTGTATATGATATATTTCCCCGAATATCGTTACTACGGAGTGCATATTACGGCTGTGCAGGACCAATTCAACAAATCGGATGAACAATGTATATGGAAGCTATAGCTATATCTGAACCGATCTTCACCAAATTTGACATACTAGTTTCTAGACTCAATTCGATCGTAAGTGCCAATTTCATCCAATTTGGGCAAATATTAGACGTTTGGTGCACAATAAAAAATCTGAAACCGATCTCGATAAAATTTAGCAAAGGTATTTCTGAGCTGTATTTGATTTTATTTATTGTTACAGAGTGCATATTAAGGCTGCTGAGGACAAAAATAACAAATCGGATGAACAACATATATGGGAGCAATAGCTATATCTGAACGGATTTTCATCAAATTTGGCATACTTATTTTCAGGCCTAATTTCGTCGGCAGTGCAAAATTCCATATTACTTGGGCTGATATTACAGGTTTGGGACACAATAAAAAGCAAATCGGACGAAGATATATATGGGAACTATATATAAATTTTGACCGTTTATCTCCAATTTCAATAGGGTTCGTCCTTGGGTCAAAAATGACTTGTGCAAAATTTCATCCAGATCGTGCAAAAAATGCGACCTGTACTTTGTTTACAAAAACACATTATAAGTTTGATTGGTACAAAAATTATGTAACACCTCGAAATATTGGTTTCCCACATAGGAAAGTATATATGGATCTTCCTAGCTCGCCGAGCTGAGTCGATCTAGCTATGTATGTCCGTCCGTCCGTCTGTCCGTCTGTCCATGTTAATTTGTAATCACTCTACAGGTCGCAATTATGGCCCGATCTTCACGAAATTTAGAATGTAGGTGGGGCTTGGACCAGAATAGAACCCTATTGCCAAATACTGAAAAAATGTCGGATTTTGCAGTAGCTATACAGGTCGCAATTATAGACCAATCGGCGCGGAATTTCGCATATAGCTGGAGTTTAGGGAGGGGAAAAAGCCTACCAATTTTGGTGGTCATCGGGTAATATTTAGCGGGTAAAATAGACCATATCTTTTGTGTTGAAAAAATTCAAAATTTTTCATTAAACCGCGAATATTTTAAATCCCGGCGAAATAACAAAGCCATCACAAGGTTACTTCTGACCTTTACATTGATGTTAACATCCAACAAATCGGATATATAGCAAAATATGTGCGATATATATGTCTATCAAAGACGATATGCTTGAAAGATCTCTTATATGTCGAGAACGGCTGAACTGATTTCGACAGTTCTCATTAATTCAGAATGGGCTCTTGGCAGGAAAGAAAAAAACGTCTAAAAAAATCGCATAAAAATATCTCTCTAAAGATGAAAATATTGATTTTGTAAAAGTTTCTCATATTTTTTCAATTTTGTCATATTTTTGGCATATTTTCATTTTGAATTAAACATTTGGTAATATTTCTACAGCTAACAAAACTAAGTAGTTAGGATATCAGGATATCATATACAGATCGCATTTATGGCCCGATCCTGTTCTTCCTCCTTATTGTACCATGGGCCTACCTAATACCCGAATTAAACACATGAATTTATATGAATGTCACTAAAATATGTCGAATGTTCAAATTTTCAATGTTTGTCCAATTTTCCTAAAGGTGAGAATACATAAAACGCTTCTTTGACAGGACGAACGAAAGAACTTATTCTAATCGGATTATATCCAGATATCTCGTTCATCTAGTTCCTTTAGGCAAAATTCATTCCTAAGAATATATTGTATTGAATTGTTTATATGAACAAACGATTGAAGCAAATGGTACAAAAGAAATCCTGAACTAAAATTAACCAAGGAACTATGCTTCTCTTTAAGAGAAGCAACAAGGAAGATCGATCACCGAAGTGAAATGGGTTGCACTTCTCTACTGGATTCCTTAGTTAGAAGACCTAACCTATATTTCAACAAGTAAGCAATGTCGTGCGGGGCCGACCATGTGATACCCTACAACACTAGAATATGTTAGAACCCCCTTTATGTCCAAGTCCATTTTGGAAGATTTCGCTTTTGAAATTTTGTCATGGAGCATTGCCCATATATTGCCCTTAGCATTTTGACCAGGGACATTTGCGCACTTCGTCGTGCTGTTAGTTGTTGTAGTCCATTTTACAGCAAAATATAATCCAATGGTCATCCAAAAAGCTAGAATTCTTCCCCATCCTTAACTCTCTTTCAGGCATGTCGATTGGCTTCAATTGTGTGATCAGTAATTTTTTCCTGTTTTGGTTCATTTGAACCCCTTAATATTTTGCGATCATCTCCAAAAGCAAGAAGCCGTTCTGCATCTACAAATTTAGACCCATCTATATGATTAGCTTGTCTACGATATTTGGCTATATTCATCAACGAAATCAGCATAAAAATTCAGAAGTTCGCCTTTTGTGTATTTCGGATATCGCCTGTAAGTAATGTTGGTATTTTTTTTTTTTTTTTCACACAAAATTAGTGGTCCATTCTACCCGCTGTCCTAAACTCTAACTTAATGCGAGATTTCGTGTCCTATGGTTAATATTTGTGACCTTTATAACGGCTTCAAAATCAGGAAAATTTTTAGTTGTTGGTCCATTTCAACACCTAATATATTGCGGACATCTTTGAAAACAATAGGCCTAGCCCTTCTGAGCCCAACCCTACCCTTGTGAAAATTTTCGTGAGGATCGGACGATATTTGCAATACTTATATAACATTCCCAACATGTGTTGTAAGGTTAAAAAATATTACAAAATATTATAAGTCAAATTAAAAAAATTGCATGCGATAAAAATATGAAAAAAATGTCACAAAATACTACAAAATCTATATTATCATCATTATCGGCATATTTTTCTGCGATTTTTTTAGATTTTATGCTTTCATGTCAAGAGGGCATTCTGAATTGAATTCTTGAGATATAAGCATTCTAGCTAACATTCCTTTCCTTTGTATATACACATTGTATATATTTCGCTATATATATCCAATATATTTACTATCGGCATCTACGTAACGGTCAGAATTGACCTGTTGGTCTATTTGTGATTTCGTCGGGACTAAAAATATTCGCGATTTAATCGAAAATTTGACTTCTATTTAACACAAATGTTGTGGCCTATTTCACCCACTAAATATTACCCGATGACCAACAAAATTGGAAGGCTTCTGCCCAGACCTAAGTTCTAGCCCCATGCTAATTTCCGCTTTGATTGGTCTATAATTGCGACCTGTAGAGCAACTGCATCAGGATATTCGGTATTTTTGATGAACATTGGTATTTGTAGTTCATAATGGGTTCTAGCTCCGGTGGCAGAACATTGAACATTTAGGTTCACGTTTTCCTACAACGCATACATAACGATGACCACCGAGATTTGGTATTTTGATAATCCTAGTCACATTCATCCACGAAATTGTTCCAAATTTGGTACTTAGGAAAATTTGGTAGATGACAATCCTTGAAGTATAAAATTGTCCATAGAGGTTCCCGTTTTGGTATGACCCCCATAAAACGGCCTCACCAAACCAACGGTCTTACTGGTATTGTTAATTTAAAGCGAAACACTTGTGTTTTTGGATCCACCAAGAACTTAGCAATTACTTTTGTCTAACTTGCATTTATACAACTGTCAAATTGAATAAATACACAGCGATCTGGGAGCAATCTCGGAATCGGCTTGGGAACTAAACAAGTAACACGTTTTTCTATGGTCTTGCCAATTTTTAATCCCTATCTTATGACATGTGAAAAAATATTGTAATAGTAATGGAAACCTTAATTAATGGAAACCTTGGGAGCATCTCTGTTCGAATATGCGATAAAAATCGTTAAAATATCAAATTTCAGGAGATAACTTGGACCACACACAGCAACTAGAACCCAGTGCAAACTTTAAGTAATTTTGATAAAATCATCGGAAAACCTAATATGAGGATATACAGTTATATAGGGCCTAAACCACAGCTTGGATCTATATGTATAGCTTTCTTTAACCATGTGTCTTCCCTAAGACTTGTTGGTGTTCTGCTCATGATATTATCATGGCGAATTCAATGTCTGAGAAATTAATTAAATGGGGTTATAGCAATGAAATTACCAGAAAATAGGTCAGTTACCACAATATCCGTGTCAAAAAACCAGCTTCATGGAGTCTACCAATATATAGCAACGGTCTGCGTATTCTTTGATAAAGGTTCGTTGCCTTTCTTAATAATTTAGAGCTAAAACTCAAGGTCAATAAAATTGCTGACGGACACAATTTGAGACAATACTAACAAATATAATGACTGCTATATCACAATTTCTGGTACTGTCTCATGGCTTGACAAATAGGCCATTACAATTCATCGACCCTATATTATTTCCTTAGGAGAAATCACTAAACTCCAAAACCCCCTTCTGAAAACATTTGTAGGTATCCGATATTAATTTTAGTTTCCAATATAGTGTCATATGACCTCTGCAGCT